TAAATAAATAAATAATGATTTCATGGCTATCTTGATAGAATTATCATCATGAAAGGGAGAAGTCTGTTGCCAGGAGAAAACAACCAAAATACTGTAATCTACAGCTTCTTTTCATCTTCAACCTCCCTTACAAACCTGTGCCTTCTCAGCCTGTATCCTGCTCTTTCTGTTGCTTCTAGGTGATGTTTGCTGCCTGTGAGTTGGGAATATTTGACCTCCTGAGAGAGTCAGGAGAGAGTCTATCCTCGAAGGTCATTGCGGAACGACTGGGGAGTAGCCTTCATGGGATGGAGCGGCTTCTGGATGCCTGTGTGGGTTTAAAGCTTCTGAGCATAGAAGTGAAACAGGAAGGAGGTAATAGTGTAGTTAGTCAGTGTTCCAGCCCAAAGCAGTCCATGACCATTTTAGTAAAAATTTAAAAGAAAAGGTAATACTTGGTATTCAGAAGTAACTAAAACTATTGCCTCTTTACTGACTTAAAAACACAGGAGTGCTGCTGGGTCTGTGGTATGAAGGTCATTTCAGTGGTGGAACTGACCACATCCCATAGCTTTAAGTAACTTTTACAGTTACTTAAAAGTTACCCCTCATTAAACTACCTCAAAGTAACTTAACTACACGAGAAAAAAGGAATTTATTACAAGTAACTTAAAATGAGAGTTACTTCCAAACTTTGGACCAGTATGCAGAGCTTGAAAAGACCATTCAAAGTTGCACTTGACAAATGGCCCTCTTGGTAAAGGCCACAAATACTACAAGATAAAATGTAGTCTAGGCTCAGTATTTGCCTTGATTTTTTAAAAAGCTGAGTTCAAGGGGAAAGGACAAGAGTGTTCAAGATTGTGGAACTATTCAGAGAATGAGGACTAGGGCTGGAGCATGAGGGTTTTGCGGGAAGGCAAAGTGGCACTTGCCACGCCTCGAATCCTAAATGTTAATGTATTGATTATATTAACATGTACAAACACACTGTGTGAAAAGAAGGATGCCAGAGTTGAGAATGGATGTCGTTGTTGTTTAGTCGCTAAGTCGTGTCCGACTCTTCCTGACCCCATGGGCGAGAGCACGCCAGACCCTCCTGTCTTCCACTGCCTCCCGGAGTTGGGTCAAATCCAAATGGATACTTTACTCTTTTGTCCCAATTATTCCTATTGACCACATAAATAGGGCTATAGTTAAATTATGGAATTTGCTTCCACAAAATGATAGTGACCATGACCAATAATGGGATGGCTTCAAAAGGCAATCAGAGAGCTGAATGGGGAAGAAAAGGCTATCGCTGGCTACTAGTCATAGCGGCTACTTATTACCTCTGCCAGGGGAGGCAGCAGACTTCTCTGTACTGTACTCATTTGTGGAAAACAGAAGCAGGAGGGGGACTACAGTATCCAAGTCCTCCTGGTAGGCTTCCTGTGGCCATCTGGCCGACCACTGTGGAGACAAATGGCCAAACTCCATAGTCCTTTGGTCTGGCCTGCTAAGGTTCTTACATTTTCTAAATGAGTGCTATGCACCTTATTTTCTTCGTGCAAGAACCTGTTCACAAAGAATTGTCTCTTTTCACTTTACAGTTTGTTCCCATTTTGCTTTTGGGAGTATTTTAAAGATCATCTGCAACGTGTTCTTTTGAATGAAATCCAACTGCTGCCATAACAAATGGGATCAGAAATGATAAAACCATTCTTCACAAGATATATAATAAAGCTGTCAGTTGAACTGGCATTCCAAACTTGGTGTTGATGAATAGTTTCAATCCTAGATGTCTCTTGAGAGGATGTCATAAAATATGACTATGACCCAGGGAAAAGAACAGAGTAGATATTTTTTTTCTTGCTATTAAGCTGAAAATGACTGACAGAAATGTTGTTATTGCTGTATAAATCATTGCTTTCCCTCCTTTCCTTTTTTAAAAAAAAGCTTTTTACAGAAACACGGATATATCTAATCTCTACCTCACAAAATCTGGTCCAAAGTCTCAGTATTACAATTTGATGTACTACTCCAAAACCATCTATCTGTGCTGGCACTACCTGGCAGATGCTGTAAGGTGAGGCAGATGAGGGAGCTGAGGTTGCTAACCGGAAAAAAGTGTTGTTCGTATGTGCTGTCAAGTCATATCAAATATACGGTGACCCTACCAGGCTTTTCAAGGAACATGAGGTATTTAAGGAGTGGTTCTCCCATGATCACCCCTCAACTATGTTTTTATAGAGAAGCAAGGATTTAAATCCAAATTTCCTGAAGCCTAGTCCAACATGCTGTTCACTACACCACATTGGCCTTCAAGTCTAGAGGCCTGTGGAAAATTCATTACGGTGAAGGTGAGCTTGGGAATATTTGGAAAAAGATTTCCCACCTTATGCAGTGAACGGTCGTGAGCACAGTTTTAGCTGCAGTTTTATGCAGTGAATGACGGCATCCCCTCTGCCTTTATCTTTCTCTTCAGGAAAAACTGGGGGAATATAATTGTTTTTACTGTTAATTATGTAGGGAAGAATACAAGTGTTTACTTTTTCCCCGAAGACCGCTACAGAATTCATACTGGTGTATTGTTACTTGTATCTGTTTTCTTCTGCATACAGACTATTGAAATTGCAAAACTGCTAAGTCTCAGAAGGTAACCTATTGCAGGTGTGAGGAAACCACCTAGGGAATGCATAGTCATGGCAACGCTATTTGTGGAGACAATTCGCAGGGGGATACTAGATAGAAGGAATTGGCAATGTAGGTATTGAGATAACAGTCAACTCTGTTGTGTGAGAAGGAACAAAACAAAGATGAATCAGGCTAGATTTTTTCCCCTCTCATGGGAAACACCATATGGTTCCACATATGGCTTTCTGTGATGTTATTATTATGAGCAGCACAATTATGAATCCCTCCTGCTCAATCCATAACGAGACAGAGAAGAGCTGTGCAGTTGTGGGCATTTTGATGCATATAGATATTTATACAGATACGCAGGATCTAGGATCACATTTGCCTTGTTTTTAAGACTATGCTTTTATAAAAGAAACACAACATTTAACATTTACAAGTTAATATGCTGGAAAGTTGGTTACTGGTAATCTAGAGGAAGTAATAAAGAAAGATGAGGTAATGAAATTTGGGGAAAAGCAGAAGGAGGAAACCTCAAGGTGCAGAGAAATTTATGTATGAAACTGTCACCTTTTTTCATAAAAGGCAATAAAATTATAAAAATAAGACTGATTAATTAGATTTGGTGTATCGACATATAGTTCAAAATGTACAAAGTACAGTACCTCACTTGGTGTGAACATGGTAGACCCATTTCATATCTATTGGTTCTAAAATAGCTTTATACTACTTATACTGAAGAAGTTAGCTGAAATATGCCAGGGTTGACAAATAATGTTTTTTTGCTCTCGGAAGCTTTCTCTCTCTTTGTCCTCAGGGAACAATTGCCTGGATACAAAACACAGCACAGGTACATATTCTGCTTTCATGATCACAACTTCTATCACCTAACCACAAACCACCATCTAACCCTTTCATGGATTTGAGAATATAGCCAACTTTTAGGGATGTAAAGGAGTGATAAATGGCCTCAATGGTCTTATAGGCCTCTTCCAACTCAACTTTCTTTTTTTTTTACTCCTGTGCAGTTCACTGGCACATGTAGCTCTGACAGCTGAATGATGAGAAGAGCTTCGTGTGCAGCCGCCACTTGCACTATTGGGGAAAGAATTCCCTCTAGCTCACTTAAGACTCAGCTTGGTAGTCGCAGAATCTCTGTCAGCACTTGCTATGGGAAATCAAAATGCACCTGTTCTCCGAGAGTTCTCACCAGTGTTGACATGCTGGTACACGTGCAGTGAGGGTGCTAGCATCACAAGCCACCTCTCTTATTTCTAATGTGGAAGACTATAGCCCGGGAAAGGAACTCTGTTCCTCCTTCTTTCCCACCAACCAAATTTCAGGCTAGTTCCAGACATGAGTTCTTCATTTTTGCTATTGATTTCACGACATGCAACTAGCATAGCAAGGCTATTTCCTTTTTGTATTCGCGAAGGCGAATATTTCCTTTTTCTTTTTACAGGTTTATTTCACTTTATCCCATCTTATCCGGTGGTCAGGGCATTATGGCATATCAGGGTATCCCATTTGGCTTACCCACCAACTTACCCCTTCCCTCCTCCTCTATTTGTCCAGATATCAACACTTACAACACGAACCAACACAATGTAAATTTTAATTGCCATGCATTCAATGTCAGATTCTTCATAGGTGGAACACCAGTTTTATATAAAAATTAAGATAAACTGAAAGATAAGTTGACAGCTAATTTATGCTCCTCTTTTAATTTTTTTTTATTCTTAAGGGAAGGGAAAAACCAATATGAGAGAGCATTTGGTATTTCACCAAAAGATGTATTTGACGCTCTTTACAGGTAAGGCTTCCAGTCAATACATTAATACCAGAAATTGCTGTTGTCTTTGAAAAACTGTTTTTGAAGATTACCATTCTCAGTTTCATATGATCAAATATTGATCATTTCATATTTTCTTAAATGTGACTTTTTCTCATAACGGCTCATCTACAGTTAGGTTCCCTGATGGCAATGTAGTATGCAAAATATAACGTTTTATAATGTACCCTGATGGGTCAGTTTTTATATGGTTTTCAGGTGTGTAAAACTACACACATCCTGCATGTAAAAGAAATAAATGCTTTGATATGGACTGTAATTCCATGATTTCTTCTGGGTGAAGATACAACAGTTCATGTATGAATTCTTCTGCCTAAAGGAGATTTTTGAAGATTGCTATTCTCAGTTTCATATTTCTGCCTAAAAGAGATGCTTTGTCTATGCAACAGATGTGAGAAACACATGCCTCTGTTAGTTCTCAGATCTGCCCTTCCCTTAAATGAGTGGGACAGTGGACCCTCGACTTACGCAGGGCTCCACCTGCAGACTTTTCAAGTTATAGACTTCTCCAGCCGCAAAATTTGGCTTGTGGCCGGAGAATCGACCTATGGACCAGAAGGAGGAGGCGGGAAAGTGCCAAATTCAAATTTGGCCCTTCGCCCGCCTCCCCCTTCTGGTCCGTAGGCTGCCGGT